GGGGGCCGCAGCTGTTGGAGGGGTGCAGAGAGGGAACAAGGGTCTTTCCCCACCGTGGCACAATGGAGGAGCTCCACGGGATCCCCCACTTGTCCCCGGCTTGCTGTCTTAGTTGCCTAGTGCTGCTGTAACAGAAATACCACGGGGGAGCGGGGGTGAGGGGAGCTTTAATGAACAGAAATTTATCTTCTCACAGTGCACGAGGCTAGAAGTCTGAATTCAGGGCACCGGCTCCAGGGGAAAGCTCTGTGTCCACTTGAGGGGTTGGGGGATCCTTGTCTTGGTTTCTCCGGCATTCTTCTGGGAGTCCCTTCTCCGTGCTCCTTGGCGATTGCCATGTGGCATCTTCTGTACCTGATCTGCCCCTTTACATCTCAAAAGGGATTGTTTTAAGACACCCCCTCTGCCGATATGGCCTCGTTACCATACCAAAGAAAACTCTGGGATTACATCCACAGGTACAGGGGTTAGGATTTACAGCACATGTTTTCGGGGGACACAATTCAATCCATAACGCTTGCCTAGGACTGCTCTCTGGTCCTCTGGACATGGGGAGACGACAAATGATCATTCATTTCATCCATTCATTCAAGAAGCCTTTGCTCCACGCCAGGCCGTTTGGGATGCGAGACCCAGAATCCTGCCCTCGTGGTGCTGATGTTCCTATTGAGCAGCCTCTGTGAGCCAGATCATGAGACATGTGTGGCTGCCACCCCCGGTGACATTTGTGGCTCAGAGAGGTCAGGACCCCCAGGATCACACAGCCAGGGCATGGTGGTCCCAGCGGGTCCTAGATGCCACACTCTTTCCCATCTGTCCCCAGGCCTTAAAGAAGGATGAGGGTGTGCCCTGGACTGGGATGCTGGCCATTGTGCACTCCTATGTCACCCACAAGACAGGTAAGGCGGCCTTGGGGTGGAAAGGGCTGGCGGGTCCAGGCTGCTCTAAGCAAGGGCTCTGAGAAGAGGCTGCAAGGACTGGTCCAGGCTGCGGGGCTGTTACTGCAGGGGAGAGCACTTCCAGTCCCCGTGCATCTGGCCACACCCCTGCTCTTGCAGGGCAGCGGGGCCTCGGGTTCTGCTCCTGCCTCTCCTTCTCTCCGCCGGGCTCCCCTGCTTACAGCCCTTCCTGGGGGCGCCTTCTCTTTCGTAGTCAAAGAAGAGGAGAAGCAGAAGTTGCTACAGAGAGGCAGCAGGCTGCAGAGCGAGCACCAACAGCTGGAGGAGAGGGACCGGCGCCTGGCCTCCGCTGTGAAGGTGCGTGGGGCAGGGCACTGCCGAGTGTAGACCCTAAGCCTCCCTGTCTGGTTGCTGGAGCCCAGGGAAGAAGACAGACTCCCTAAGGATCACTGGGCAAGTCAGTAGGTGGGGAACGCCACCCTGTGACCAATTCAAAAAATATCTCTGAAGCAAGAAACAGCATCCGGGCTCTGCTCCTTCTCCGCTCTGTGACTTGGCAAGGACCTGACCTTCTCTGACCTTCAGTTTCCTCTTGTGTAAAATGGACAGAATTCCTCCTCCTTAGGGGGGTGGTGGTGGTGGTGGTAATGGTGGTGGTGGTGATTATGGTGATAGTGGTGATGATATTGGTGGGGACGGTGGTAACTGTGATGACGATAATAATGGTAACAGCTGTGCCAGGCCCTAGCAAAGCTCTTTAAAGGCGGTGTCTCATTTAATCCTCTCAGTGAGCCTTTGAAAGAGGCTCTATGATTATCTGTAACTCAGAGCAGCAGAGCTGGCAGGTGCACTCAACTCTCTAACCGGGGCCCTCAGTCCTTACTGCTTTCCTGTGTTACCATAGTCACAGAAAGGGTTGAAACAGACAAACAGCCCAGGCCGGAGGCAGAGTGGAGGGCTGCCCAGCGACGTGAAGGTCTTCCGCAGCTTCTGGTTTAGCCAAAACTGGCTGTGAGCTTCTTGCCCACAGGAGAGAGGAGTGGTCTGCTAGGTGGCATGTGATCCGTGACGTTTCCACAAAAGCACAACGTTTCCAGCCCCAAGTTCTACAAAAATCTTCTTCCATGGGACTGGCTGCCATTGGTTCCCTTTTTAGCAGCTGCCTGATTTTTGTGAGGCCTCCCGCCTGGTTTCTTTAGGCCTTGCCAATGGGAAGGAGGGGCCTCATGTCCCGGGCTGGGCTGAGGGGACGGCTGCCCACAGTTGAATTCTGAGACCATTCTCTCTGCCCCTCCCACTGACAGAAATGCCTGGAGCTCAAGACAAGCCTGCTGGCCCAGCAGAGGGGCACCCAGTCGTCCTTGGAGCGCCTCCGGGCCCTGCTGAGACTGATACAGGGCGAGCAGATGCTCCAGGTCACCATGACGACCACCAGCCCCGCCCCGCTGCTGGCTGGGCCCTGGACCAAGCCCTCCGCAGCAGCCATGCACTCTGCCCTCCAGCACACCCAGGAGCACAACTGACCCCCAGGGACCTGGCTTCACACCCACAGGAAGTTCCCGGGACCCCGCTCACACACCTGGGGTTCTTTCGGCCTTAATTCATACCACTATGAAGTTCAGACAAAGTAAACCAGACAGAGAGAGACAGCAGGACAAAGGGGCACGGGCTGGGCCGGGGTCCCAGAGCGAGGACTGGGTGGTGGTGGCAGCAGAGACCACCACCCTTGTGTTCCCATGGGGTTCCCCGAAGCCAGGGGAGGAGAGGCGGGCCCAGGGCACACTGTCATCTACCAGCTGCAGCCGGGCTGCCCCAGGCCAAGGCTCTCTCCACAGCCCCGGCTGCCTCAGAGAGAAGCGGAGGTTGTGGGAGGGCCCGGAAGACCACAGGGCCAGTGCCTCTGGGGTGTCCTGCCAGAGGGAGACCGAAGACACAGAGACATCACGAAGTAGTAGAGCTAGTTGGGTTTCATGCTGTTGGGGTGAGAGATGGGTAGTGAACTCTAGGTAGGACTCTGACACCCCCTCCCCCAGGGCCACACTCATAGGTGCCCACCTGGTGCCTGGGTCCAGGCCGGGCCACCCCCTGCACCTCGCAGGATGACCTGGGCCCTCTGTCAGTATTACTAGAGTGCAGAATTGAAGCTGTTTAACTTGAAATACTGGAGCTGCGCGTCCCTGAGGGGCTTCCGTACCTGCCCCCGATCCCGGAGCACGTCCTCTGGCCGACCTTTGGACTCGTTTTGCTCCCGGTGTATTTTTCTCATGGAGTTTTTGGGCCAGATGGAGCCGAAACCACGTGGGGGAGGCAGCTGGTGGGTTTTCTGTTTGGGGTTATCATGTCACGCAAAGTATGATGGAAGCCTTTGATGTTCTCCTTTCCAGGAGCCGATAAGTATTTCACTCCTCGTTTCTTGCCAGTACAGACACTATGCCAAAAAATAACTTTACATTTTTATATGGCGTTTTTATTGTAAGATATTTAACGTGAAGGGGGGGACACTTGCTGACTTTTTTTTTTTTTTTCCCCTGCTTATAGAAATCTCTGCTTCAAGGTACGAATGGGGAGGCTTCCCTTGGGAAGGCTGTCAACCTGGAGAGATCTGGGTTGTTTTTTTTTTTAAGAAGTGGGGTAGAGGGTGGGGGGAGGAAGAAAGGGCAGTGGCCCCAGGAAGGTTTGGCCTTTGGGGGCTCTTGAGCCCCCACTTCTTGCTGGCTCCCGAGTCAGCTGGGAGCCTAAGGGGCTGCACGCCGACTTCCAAGGGCTCCTGTGTCCCAGGACGGGCTGTGCCGGGCAGGACCGCCCCGCAGCTTCTCTGGTTCCAAGGAACTTAGCACAACAGGACGAGCATCCAGGAGCCCCAGGGCTCCCGCCCATGAGCATATCACACGGTGCCGAATTGCATTGAACACACGTGTACGCGTGCATCCGTGGCCTCGGTCACATGCACTCAGACACAGGTGCAGAGCAAGGGGGCTGGCCAGGCGGCCCGGCCCCACCTGACATTTCACGATTCCGGGAGAAACTGTGCTGTACGATACAGATCTATTTTAATACACTCAACACTGGGTTGAACAAGATTTTTATATTCTTTTATTGACGAACAAAGCGGGCGGTGTGAGACACACGTCTTCTGCGTTGGCTGCTCCGTGCCGATTACGTCTCTCCACGTGACTTGCCACGCCAGCGAGTTCAGGTCCCTTATGTGTTCTTTTGTCCTCTTCCCGGATGAATTGAAGTAAAAAATAATTTTTTTTTTTAATGTCATGGGAGGCTGCGAAAGGTTGGATCCGGGAGGGGTAGCTGCCGACGTGTCTGGAGACTTGTTAGTTTTTTTGACCGAGAGGACCGTCCAGTGGATAGTGAGAATAGAGGAAAAGTGTTTGTCTTAAGTATGCCAATGTAGTTTTCCTTCTGTACGACGCATTAAACGCGATCGATGATTTCAAAGCCCTGTGGTTCTTATTTCCTTGCCTACGGGGGAGTGCTCCCTGGGAGCACGTGGGGCAGGGGGTGGGCACTGGACCAACCAAAACAAACCCATTGCTGTCAAGTCGATTCCGGCTCATGGCGACCCCATGTGTTACAGAGTAGAACTGCTGCATAGGGTTTTCTCAGCTATCATCTTTACAGCAGATTGCCAGGCCTTTCTTCTATGGCACCTCTGGATGGGTTCGAACTGCCAACCTTTAGGTTAATAGCTGAGAGCAAACCATTTGTGCCACCCGGGGACCTGGGCATCAAACAAGAGGCCAAAAACCAGGGTCTTGCCCCCATCAGGGAGGGAGGGAAGGAGAGAGGAGAGAATCCGTGCAAGGATCCCACACAGCCTCCCTGGGCCCCCTTCGTCTGTTGGGCCAGGATCCATGGTAGCAAGAAAGAGAAACCCATCAGGACAGCCGCTGGGTAGAGCCCAAAGACAGTGTGCCGCCCACCCCCCTCGCCCATTTCTCCCACCGCATGTCTGCGTCACTGCAGACAAAGTCCCATGACCCCTGGGGTTCACACCTTGGCTTTGCCAAGGAGCAGCCAAACCGGGAGGCCAGACACTGCGTCCTGATTCCAAACCTTGCCCAGAGGGGCTCCGATTGGCCCAGTTGGCTCAGGTGCCTGTCTCCAGGCCAATCAGCCGTGCCAGAGGGTGGGACCAGATGTCACAGTGGCTGTGCCCAGTGCCCAGAGAGGTGGAAAGGGGTGGGCCGGCTGTCTTGTTGCCTGCAATGTTACTGTCTCCAGAGAAACTGAGCCAGTAGAGTACACACACACACACAAACACACACACAGATTTCTTCTAAGGAATTGGACCATGTGACTGGGGACTGACAAGACCAAAATCTGTAGGTGGTGAGCTGGAGCTGATGGTACAGTCTTGAGTTTGAAATCCATACGGCAGGTGGAAAGGTGGAAACGCTTGCAGGATGTCGATGAGGCAGAATTCCTTCTCTAGGAAATCTCAGTTTTTGCTCTTGGGGCTTTCAACTGATTGAATAAGGCCCACCCACGTTCTCGAAGGTAAGCCCCTTTTCTGATAGTCAACCGATAGTAAACGTTCATCACATCTACAAAATACCTTCTCAGCAACATCCAGACTGGCGTTTGACCAAATACCCAGGCACCACAGCCTAGCCCAGTGACACGTACAATGAACCCAGGGTCACAGAGTTGTGGGGTGGGGGGCAGATTTCAAGTCTGCCTGGCCCCAGACTGCACATTCTTCCCCTCCCTGTAAAACCTCTTCACACCCCCCCCTTGAAAACGGCCACAGCCTCCCTCCCAGCAGCCACGAGCAGACTCCGGAGCCCCTCAGAGATGACTGTGACAGCCTCCAGCCCTCTTGGCTGCTGAGCTCAAAACTTTCGTCCCTACTCAGCGCCTACAGTGACACTGTCCCTGTTGGATCACCCCTGACCTCTCCACCATTGGAGCTGCCCACCCCTGGGTCACCAATGGCCTCCACGTGGGCATTTCCAGCCAGTGCATGGATTCTCAGGGCCCCGTGATGCTTCGGTCGCCATCCATTCAAGGAGCCACAGGGCCCCCATGTGATGGATGTCCCGCCTGCCCTGCCCCTCCCGCATCGCCAGGTTTTGTCTGTGCAGAAGCTCTAGGTGCAGAGGCCTCGGCGGGTACTCCAACCTCTCCTGCCCCACAATAGCCCTTGGCTGAGCTCACCCAGCCCCCAGCTTTCTATCTCCTTGATGCTGCTCCCCAATTTTTGTCCCCGACCTGGGCCTCTCCAGTGAACTCCAGATGGTAACATCCAGCCCCACGTGGACACCTGGCCAACGTCTCAAACTCAGGGTTGTGCCCTCCAGGCCGGCACTCCTGCAGCCTCCCCACCTCAGGTAACACTCAGCCTTCCCTGGAGCCCCTGGGAACTGCCCTGCCTCCACTCCACCCCCTCCACACCTGGTCGTTGCAGATCCTGCAGCCCTGCCGTCACAACAGAAGCAGGGTGTGACCTGTCTCACCCCCACGCCACCACCACCTTGGTCCTCTCACCTGGATCATTGCAGCCACCTCCAGCTTGTCTCCGCCCTGCCCACTGCCGGCTTCTCAACCCAGCAGTTACTGTTGTCATTGAGTCGATTCCGACTCACGGCCACCCAGTGGATGCAGAGGAGAATGGCTCCAGAGAGTTTTCAAGGCTGTGACCTTCTGGAAGCAGATTGCCAGGCCTTTCTTCTGAGGCACCTCTGGGTGCGTTCAAACTGACCATCCTTTCTGATAGTACTCAATTGCTTAACCATTTGCACCGCCCTGGGACTCCCAGCAGCTACCGTGGTGGTGTGAAAACAAGTCAGGTCGTGTCACGCCTCTGTTGTCACACCCTGTCCCACTCAGGCTGCAAGCCACTACCTGTTTCTTCCGCTCCTCTCCACGTCCATCTCTGCTCTGGCTACCCTGACCTCCTTGCACTCCCTTGAACCCACCGCAGGGCCTTTGCGTGTGCTGTGCTGGCTGCCTGGAATGCTCTTCCCGTGTCTCCCTGACTGGCTCCCCCACTTGCTGGGGACTAGACCACAGCCCCACTCTGTGCAGCTTTCCCAGTCCCTGGGCTGAGGCTTCAATGCCCCCACCTCTTCCCCGCTCTGTCTGCTCCCTGGCCTTCCCACCACCTGCATGACTCCCCTTTGTGTGTTTCTGCCTGTCTAGACTGAACGCTCCCTGAGGGCAGGGATTTGGTAGGGTTTGTTCACACCGTCCCAACCGGAAGGCTGTCCCAGCACAGAGTTCTCAGAGTGCTGCTGGTAGGACTCACGTGAGCTGCAGGAGCCGATTTCGGCACAATCTGGGACCCACTTTCCAATGGGCAGAGACTCTGCTGGCGCAGTGGTTAAGAGCTTGGCTGCTAATCAAAAGGTCAGCAGTTCGAATCTACCAGGTGCTCCTTGGAAACCATATGGGGCAGTTCTACTCTGTCCTACAGGGTCGCTATGAGTCGGAATGGACTCGCTGGCAGTGGGTTTGTCCCATGGGCAGAGCTGGCTGGTGGATCCCTTTGGGAGGGCAGAGTTCTCTT